TGTGTGGTATTTATTCAGTTTTGGGAAATCACGATGTCTAGAAACATCAGCTGACAGGGACAGCTAACAGCAGCAGCAAAGCTAACATCAGGACATCATCTGTTAAAAGCCTCCCGTTGTCGGATACGACATGAAACTACTCCAGTTAGCTCAATCATGTTGTAACTAAGACATCCGCTGGAAAAAATATTTTTTTCATGGACCGTTTATTGAGTTACGGAGTTATTACAGACACCGCTATGGGCTAACAGCTAACAGCGTCCCTACGCCCCTATGTTGCCCCGGTCAAAATGGTCGCGCAACAATTACGTCACATCCAGAGCCCGGTAACTTTACAGGAACCTTCCTCCTACTCCGCTCTCTCAGTGGAGACACAGCGGTTGAGAGGGCCGAGCGAGAGGACGTTCCTGTGAAGTTCCTGCCCCCCAAATAGTACCAGGAACTTCTTCAGTGGAAACGGGCTTTTAGAGATAGGGGGAGGAGCTCTGACATCCGGAGGGTGCTAGGAGTAGAGCCGCTGCTCCTTCACATTGTGTCAGTTGAGGTGGTTCGGGCATCTGATCAGGATCCTCCTCGGTGCTTCCTGCTGGAGGTGTTTCCGGCATGTCCAAATAGTGGAGGCCCGGGGCAGACCCAGAACACGCTGGAGGGATTATATCTCATCTGGCCTGAGAATGCCTCGGGGTCCTCCAGGGGAAGTCTGGGGTGCGTTGCTTGGCCTGCAGCCCCTGGGACCCGGCCACGGATAAGCAGATGAAAATGGATGGATGGAAGAATACTCTGACTCCTGAAACCTTGCCCCAACAATCAGCAGCAATGGGCTCCTCTGAACAGCTACCTGATCTGGGCTGATCTGTTGTAGCCAACAGTTATCCAAGAAAAGACTTTATCTTCTGTGCACCATCATTTTGGCTAATCTCTATAGACACATCTGGATATAGGGGTGGACTGGCAATCTGGCAGCTCGGGCAGTTTACAAGTAGGCCAATGTGCCTTTTTTTTGTCTGACTGGCCAATAATACAGGCAGTCCGGCCCATTGGTTTATTTTCTGAATGGACACAAGGCTGACCCAATCACATCTTTGAAACCATCCTTCTTTGGCCACTGCAGTCATTAAACTGCATCTACAACAAAGAGTGTGCCAAAAAGGATCATACAAACACAATGGAGACGCAGAAAAACTGCACAACAGAGAAGTGCTTTACATCTGGACAGCATATTTTATATATAGGGGGTTGAACTACCAGAGGGCAGCATTGCAGATGTTCAGGACAACTACAAATACCTCGGGTCCTGCAGGCAAATGGGAACTTTGAGGAGGCAGCAAGGAAGTCACCCACAGCTTAATACCTACACAGGGTAAGACAGGTCCTGAAAGGTCAGCTGAACAGAAAGAACAAGGTCCGAGCCATCAACACATTCGCCCTGCCAGTCATCAGATACCCTGCTGGTATCGTAAGCTGCCAAAGGAGGAGATAAAGGCTACTGATACCAAGACAAGGAAGCTTCTCACAATGCATGGAGGGTTTCATCACCAGGTCCAGCACCCTGAGACTGTACAGTAAGCATAGCGAGGGGGGCCGAGGACTAGTGAGCGTCAGAGCCACTGTCCAGGAGGAAACAACCAAGATCCAGGAATACATCAGGAAAATGGCTCCCAAAGATGAGCTGCTGAGCGAAAACCTCAGGCAGCAGAAGAAGAGGACAAACCATCGAGGAGTTACAAGCACCTGCACGACGGCATGTAGCACCGACAGATTGAAGAGGTGGCGGACATCAAGAAAAACTACCAGAGGCTGGAAAAGGCCGGACTAGAGACAGCACAGAGGCACTAATGTGTGCACCGGTGAGAGGGGAATTTGTGTATATATATACAGTACAGGCCAAAAGTTTGGACACACCTTCTCATTCAATGCGTTTTCTTTATTTTCATGACTATTTACATTGTAGATTCTCACTGAAGGTATCAAAACTATGAATGAACACATGTGGAGTTATGTACTTAACAAAAAAAGGTGAAATAACTGAAAACATGTTTTATATTCTAGTTTCTTCAAAATAGCCACCCTTTGCTCTGATTACTGCTTTGCACACTCTTGGCATTCTCTCCATGAGCTTCAAGAGGTAGTCACCTGAAATGGTTTTCCAACAGTCTTGAAGGAGTTCCCAGAGGTGTTTAGCACTTGTTGGCCCCTTTGCCTTCACTCTGCGGTCCAGCTCACCCCAAACCATCTCGATTGGGTTCAGGTCTGGTGACTGTGGAGGCCAGGTCATCTGCCGCAGCACTCCATCACTCTCCTTCTTGGTCAAATAGCCCTTACACAGCCTGGAGGTGTGTTTGGGGTCATTGTCCTGTTGAAAAATAAATGATCGTCCAACTAAACGCAAACCGGATGGGATGGCATGTCGCTGCAGGATGCTGTGATAGTCATGCTGGTTCAGTGTGCCTTCAATTTTGAATAAATCCCCAACAGTGTCACCAGCAAAACACCCCCACACCATCACACCTCCTCCTCCATGCTTCACAGTGGGAACCAGGCATGTGGAATCCATCCGTTCATCTTTTCTGCGTCTCACAAAGACACGGCGGTTGGAACCAAAGATCTCAAATTTGGACTCATCAGACCAAAGCACAGATTTCCACTGGTCTAATGTCCATTCCTTGTGTTTCTTGGCCCAAACAAATCTCTTCTGCTTGTTGCCTCTCCTTAGCAGTGGTTTCCTAGCAGCTATTTGACCATGAAGGCCTGATTGGCGCAGTCTCCTCTTAACAGTTGTTCTAGAGATGGGTCTGCTGCTAGAACTCTGTGTGGCATTCATCTGGTCTCTGATCTGAGCTGCTGTTAACTTGCCATTTCTGAGGCTGGTGACTCGGATGAACTTATCCTCAGAAGCAGAGGTGACTCTTGGTCTTCCTTTCCTGGGTCGGTCCTCATGTGTGCCAGTTTCGTTGTAGCGCTTGATGGTTTTTGCGACTCCACTTGGGGACACATTTAAAGTTTTTGCAATTTTCCGGACTGACTGACCTTCATTTCTTAAAGTAATGATGGCCACTCGTTTTTCTTTAGTTAGCTGATTGGTTCTTGCCATAATATGAATTTTAACAGTTGTCCAATAGGGCTGTCGGCTGTGTATTAACCTGACTTCTGCACAACACAACTGATGGTCCCAACCCCATTGATGAAGCAAGAAATTCCACTAATTAACCCTGATAAGGCACACCTGTGAAGTGGAAACCATTTCAGGTGACTACCTCTTGAAGCTCATCGAGAGAATGCCAAGAGTGTGCAAAGCAGTAATCAGAGCAAAGGGTGGCTATTTTGAAGAAACTAGAATATAAAACATGTTTTCAGTTATTTCACCTTTTTTTGTTAAGTACATAACTCCACATGTGTTCATTCATAGTTTTGATGCCTTCAGTGAGAATCTACAATGTAAATAGTCATGAAAATAAAGAAAACGCATTGAATGAGAAGGTGTGTCCAAACTTTTGGCCTGTACTGTATATATATATATATATGTGTATAATAAAAAAGGAAAATATATTTTATGAATCAAATCAAATTCTTTTTTTTCTTTCACTCTTGATATATATATATATATATATATATATATATATATACAGGCCCGAAGTACACACACATGCATAAACGGCCTGTACGTGCATGCGAGGGGATTATCTTGTTAATTTACTATATAATGATGAAAACTGTTTATGGGTGTGTCTGTTCCACGTTATTCTCCTCACTGACTTGGTCAATCCATGTGAAATTTGGCACAGTGGTAGAGGGTCATGGGAGGATGCCAATGAAGCAATATTACATCAATTGGCCAAAGGGGGGCGCTATAGCAACCCATTGAAATGTCAAACTTTGAATGGGCATATCTCATGCCCCGTATGTGGTAGAGACATGAAACTTTGCGCAGAGATGCCTCTCCTCATGAGGAACAAATTTACCTCAAGAACCCATAACTTCCGCTTATATAGATTTTCCGCCATTTTGAATTTTTTGAAAAACACTTCAAATGGATCTCTTCCTAGGAAGTTTGAGCGATCTGCATGAAACTGGGTGAACATAATCTAGGGACCAATATCTTAAGTTCCCTCTTGGCAAAAGTTGGAAAACTTACTAAAACTGAGCTTCTCTAAGGCAATGAATATTGCGGAGGGCGTGGCTCATCACATAAAGGTGTATAACATCTCAAGGGTTTCACCCATCACCATGCAACTTTGTAGGCATATGACCACACATAATCTGAGGGGACCCCTCCATTATTGACCCCATCAAACAAAATGGGGGCGCTAGAGAGCTCATTTCTTATCTAGGCCTAACCGCCATATGGATTTTTACTAAACTTGGTAGATATGTAGAACAGGACGCCTCAAGGTGACTGGAGAAATTTAACTCTAATCGGCAACTGGGTGGCGCTATAACAACAGAAAAATGCTTCAAAATGGCTAAAATGCGACCGATCGCTGTGGCTCCCCCTGTGGACCAATGTTGGGTTTTTCTAATTTTTGGTATGACTAAGTCATGGTATGGTATGCTGTACTCAATGGGTATGGACTAGTACCCTATTATTATTATAATCAGAGTTAATATTATTGTTGTTGTTGTTATTTCATACTTAAATTGCATTATTGGAGGGAGTCTGTGACCCAAGTTTTTCAGTGGCAGCAACTGCCCATGTAATTGTTAATATGACAATATATAATTTTGAAACCTTGATATTAAACTGCTTAAAAGATAATCAATATCTAAAATTATATTTTGTTTGGATTGTCTGGAAGTGTTATTTATTTCACCAAAAAACTATCTCTTCTTTATAGATTATAAAACGTGAATACTGACGTTAATTCTCACATAAACTGAGCCACATGGACATTTGGATTTCCACAGATCGTCTGTAGATGGCAGCAGATCATCCCGCCAGGATTTAAACCGCCATTAAAAACATCAACGAAGAAGAAGAATCCAAAGTTATGACCGGAAGTCTTTTTTTCTTGCTCACGCTGTTGAGGAAACCTGCAGTTCACAGACACACTACATATTTCCTCCTCGACTCTGAAGGTAAACACTTCCCTAACATGTTAGAAGGCGGGATATAACGTAGAGAGAAGTACACGTGTGGTCTGTCTGTGTTTTAACATGTTCGTGTCCTGTATACATGAACCAGCGACGGCTAACTGTTGGTCGTGTAAGCTAATTTAGCTGCATCTGGCGGCTAGCGAGCGTTAGCAGGTGCTAGCTAACGTAATGTGAAGGCTCGATAGCAAGTGGTGAAACGAAAGCTAGTGAGGACGGGGAAATGGATATTTGTAAGTGCACATGCGGAGCTAAAACTAGTGTTAACGTAGGTTATTAATACTTTTATGTTAGCATAACTGATTAAATGACAGAATTCAGCTACAGCTACTATTCAGACGGGTTAAAGTTTCTTTATAAAATATCAACCTGCGTTACACACACATAAGAGTCAGGATATTTTATGACCTATTAGCTTCCAGGCTTCAGTCTAGCTTTGACTAACACTCACAAAGCAGTGGTTATATTTACTGTGTCTGTAGTGATCCGTCTCCCTTTACGGTGCGTTTACATCTTCTTAAGATATTAACACCCTGTTAGCAATTCATATTTAACCCTCTGTGCTTTTTACATCTTATATTTACCAGCATACCTTAGGTAATACAATCTCTCATTTTTATTTTAAAGCACCGTCTAAAAAAAAAAAAATCTGTCTTGATATCTGTACATATATTTTGTATTTATTTGTATTTAACCCATATTAAACCAGGTAAGTCCAGTTAACATCTACAATCTCTCCTACAAGGGAGACCTGACCAAGACAGCAGCACACAGAAAGTTACAGCCAAACAGCCACGCAATAAAAAACATAAAAGATCTGCAGTAACATGTTGAAATGTTAGAACACCTACGCACAATGACAAAACCCAGCTGACACCTTGGGGTTAGCGAGGTAAAGTCAGGGTTAACTCAAGCTGGTTCTCTTTTTACCATGACAAATCACCATGGTAACTGATGCTGAACAGCTGACCTGATCACTGTCAACACCCCGACCTCTGACCAATCAGATCACTGAAGACAAAAGTATCCATGGACCAAAGTCCAGAGTCTCAGGTAAAAAGAGGAGCTTATGTGTTGTTACAGGTCAGTAGAATCATCTCATTGTTTCCACTGGTTTTAAACCAGCTTCTCACAAACACAGAAATGGTTTACACACTGAACACATGATTTTAACTGATGCAAAGTTTATTTTAGTCGCAGTGACAGTGTTGATATTTGACGCTGTGATTCATCACTGCAGCTCAGAATAACATGAGACACCTGTGTGATGAGAACGAGGATAAAACACATCATATTTTATTAGTAAAATAATCCACACACTGTTAATCAGCTCCTGTTATTATAAATGACACACATCAGTCAGTCATTAACTACTTTTCCACTCTTCACTTGAGCAGCAGAAACAGTCTGGTGTTACTTTAAAGTCTCTATGTGACACATTCAGAGGAGTTTCATCATCATCACACTAAACAGCAAAAAATACTAATGTCACATAGAGCTCAGTGTCTCGGCTGACGGTGAATGTTTGGATGGTGTTTTCGATGTTTCTAGATTTTCCATTTCAGGATTACAGACTGTTGTTTACATTCCACACAACTGACATTTTAGTGTCTCCTTCATTCATGGTTCTGATGATGTTGCTCGTATTTAACAGCCCTGCCTCTTCCACATGAAAACACTTGTAGCTGGATAGGAAAACCCAGAGTTGACTGAATTAGATGATAACCAGCTTTGTAGTACCTGTTATCCAGACAGACAATGTGACAGGTTTGTCAAACCACATAACAAAAAGATATCCCGGGTAAGATGAACTGGCTTTGTAAAACAGGCCTCTGGTCATGTAGTTTCAAATCTTTTAAAGCTAATTGCAGGTGAGAGGAGCAGAGCACAGAAAAGCTTTCTTTCCCAACTCAGTCTGTGAACTAGGAACAGACAAAACTAAATCTCAGGATCTCAGACTGTAGCTACAGTCAGATCTCTGTCCAATCAAAGTGCAAATGTATGACAGGAGTTTACTGAGTATGGCTTTAGAAATGAACAAACACCAGTGACTGAGCCTATGAAAGGTCAAAGATCGGGGGTTTAGCAGCTGACCCAATGTTGGGTCTAGAAGAAAAGATGACAAACGTGTTTGTGGTGTTTCATGTTTCTCTGAGTTAAAACTGCTGAATCAGCTCAAGTGTAAACGAGTGCTGCTCCGTGTTGTGTTAAAATTATACTGTGTTGTCTCATTGCCACTGCGCCTGTTAAGTATCGCAGGTTTTTCTGCTTGTAACAGATACCAGAGATGATAAAACAAGACACAGAAGAGTCTGCCACCCAGGGCGGTGAGGATGCTCCACCTACAGCAGGAGGGATGGAGTCACCTGCAGCTGCTAAAGACAGCTTGGACAGCAACAGCCCTGAAGAGTCTGAGCCACAGACGCCACAGACAGACACAACTCCACAAGGTGATGAGGCAGGAAGTGAAGGTAAGGGTTGAATTATTTACAAGGCAAACGCTATGTTGTTGACAAGACTGCCTCTGTAACACGATAACCATTTATAACATGGTCAGTAGGGAGAGGAGTTTGTCTTCTTGTCAGTGTGGTTTCACATCTTTCTCTAGAGTCCAAGAAGAAGTCAAAAACTTTTTTAATCATGTTCTTCCTCCACTGTGTGTAGTCGCAGAGGGAGCACTTCCATGTGACATGGCCGAGGAGCTGAGCCGTCAGCTCGAGGACATCCTCAGCACCTACTGTCGGGAAAGCATGTCAGACGACGCCAGCACGGTGCCCAACGGCCAGTCACACAGCCCAGAGCTCAACGGGCTGACCAACGAGAGGGAGGACGACAAGCCAGAGGGCAAAGTCAACGGAGCCGGCAACGGCGTGGAGAAGGAGCAGAAGAAGAGTCAGGAGAAGAAGAAAGTGAAGGGTCTAGGTGAGGAGTAACGTACTCCAGACTGTGTAGTACATGTTGCTTTCTACAGATGCAAAAACTAACTCTGATTCTGTCTTGTCTCTGTTTTCCTTGTTCATGCAGGTAAAGAGATCACTCTCCTCATGCAGACTCTGAACACACTCAGCACCCCAGAGGAAAAGCTCGCAGGCCTCTGTAAGAAGTACGCTGAACTGGTGAGTGGACTCCTTTGTAAATACGGTGATATGGATGTTTGGTGAGCCTGGAGCACAAACAGTTTTTTCCTGTTTTCGCAACAACCTTTCTTTTTTATCTTTGAGCACAAAATGAAGTTCATTTTAAAGAAATATTTGTAGAACAGTGTGGGTAGTCAACATTTATGAAAATGGCTCAGAAAAATATGATATAAAATGATAAAAAAAAACACAGAGGTGGGGCTTTAAAACAATAAGACATGGTTTCCTGGGCTCGTCAGCTGAGCTCTGTGTGGACACAGAGGAGTGCCTTTCAAGAGATGCAGCGATCTCTGTCAAACAGACACAGAGTGGTGCACTGCAGATCTCTGTCCTGTGACCTCAATCCATGCCAGGTGGCCTCAGATGATCTGCTGGGGCTGTGTGTGCAGTCAGAAAGCTTATGTTGACTGCATTTGTTTGTGTGCGCACGTTTGAATGGCAGACCATCTGTTTGGATGTATGTGAGCTGGAGAAAGCTGATGTGTGATTTTGGCATTGTGTCAGAGCTGATGGATGAAGAGGATGAAGGTGGAACTGCAGTGATGTTATGTAGGAGGCTAGTCCACTGATGGACCCTGATGAGGACTGTTGGGGGCAGCTCTACACATGACAGGATGGATGTAATGGGGTGTTATGAAAGGCTAATATGTCCTACATTTTTTAACAGCTTTTTGGAAACAGAGCTGAGTTTACTACAGACAAGATTAATGTTTTAATATAAATGAATTATAAGTTTTTATGACCCCACACAGATCAGTACATTTAAACCATCATCCAGCAGCAACACCCCGATAACAGCTGATAACAGCTGCTGATAAAAGTCTAATCTTTGACAGTGACACCTCAAAACACGTCTTTGTTTTCGTGACAGCTGGAGGAGCACCGTAACACCCAGAAGCAGATGCGAGTGCTGCAGAAGAAGCAGAACCAGCTGGTTCAGGAGAAAGACAACCTGAGGAACGAACACAGCAAGGCCATCCTGGCTCGCAGCAAGCTGGAGAGTCTCTGCAGGGAGCTGCAGAGACACAACCGCTCACTCAAGGTACGAAAACGGCACCGATATCAAGAGTATAGACGCTGTATTCATGTATTGATTCAGTAATTGACTTCAGCAACCATAGTCTAAGATCCAGCTTTATCCAGTTCATAAATATATTCAAATGTGGTGTCAGACTCCTCAGAGAAGCTGCCGTATATTTACTAAGCATCAGTTATAACACAGTATATGTACATGCATCTGCTCCAAGTGTTTTACATAAACTGGTGTTGACAGATATTTACCAAACTGTAGTTAGTGGAGGTGCATTAAGTTAGGAGTGAAATCAACACGATCGTTCCATCTGCACACATCACACATCGTCCACTTCTGTCCGTCTGCAGGAGGAGGGGATGCAAAGAACGCGTTTGGAGGAGGAGAAGAGGAAGGAAGTGACCTCCCATTTCCAGGTGACGCTGAACGACATCCAGGCTCAGATGGAGCAGCACAACGAGAGGAACGCCAGTCTCCGACAAGAGAACACGGAGCTGGCTGAGAAGCTGAAGAAGCTCTATGAGCAATACAAACTGCGAGAGGAGGTGTGTTAGTGTGTGTGTGTGTGTGCACTTTGCTCCACGACTGCATCTTTGAAGTGCAGCATGTTTGTGTGTATAACTCACATTTTTAATGGTTGTGTGATGAGGATTTTTCTCTCTCTGACCCTGTGAACCCTCCACCAGCACATAGACAAGGTGGTAAAGCACAAAGACCTGCAGCAGCAGCTGGTGGACGCCAAGCTGCACCAGGCTCAGGAGCTGCTGAAGGAGTCGGAGGAGAGACACGACAGAGAGAAAGAATTTGTAATTATCCACTGAACACACACAAACGCATTCACATCAACAACAAAACAAAAGCAGTGTGTTTGGTCATTAAACATCAGTGTTACAGTTATTTGTGTTTCTCGCTCGTCTTCTCAGCTGCTGAAAGAAGCAGTGGAGTCTCAAAGGATGTGTGAGCTGATGAAGCAGCAGGAAGTTCACCTCAAACAGCAGGTTTCCCATCAGGCTTTGCTCCTCACCTTTATAGCTCGACTGTTGAAATGTTTGCACCCTAATGTGATCCAACCTGTTGTTGTTCTCCAGCTGTCACTTTACACAGAGAAGTTTGAAGAGTTTCAGACCACTTTGTCCAAAAGCAATGAGGTCTTCACCACATTCAAACAGGAGATGGAGAAGGTGAGGTGTCTGCGTTACTGTGGAGGTTCAGCATAGACAGAAGTGTATTTGCCTTTAGTGGGATTTAACAGTTTTCTTTCCTTCGTGCTACAGATGACCAAGAAGATCAAGAAGCTGGAGAAGGAGACGGCCATGTATCGGTCCAGGTGGGAGAGCAGCAACAAGGCTCTCCTGGAGATGGCAGAGGAGGTAAAGCAGCATTAGTTTATATTTATCAGTCTACTTATTTTTTATTGCATTTCTCCTGCAGTAATCAGTGTGTAGCTGCTGCCATGTTGAGGCAGAGGGTACTGTCTGTAGCTCTGGTTGAGGGTGAGAGGCTGTCAGCAGATAAACAGAGATCTGTGTGGGTACATGAGACCCTAAAAAAGAGGCTGGATCATGGGGAGTACCACCAGTTGGTCCAGGAGCTTCTCCTCCATCATGGACGCTTACAGGCATATTTTAGGACGACTCAGGGGCAGTTTGACAACCTGCTGTCTATCATCAGGCCGTATAGCTCTGGGTATCCAGCAACTGCTACCACCAGTTTCTCCTCCATTGTTTACTAACTGTAAACTTGTTGTCGTGACCACCACAGAAGGCCCGCCTCTCAAATCATCCCATCGGACAATGACGAAAGAGAGATGACGTGGGGCGCTTTTCCACTTTGAGTTGAAGTTTTTTTTAACTCGAGGAGTTCAGTGTGCTTCAGCAAAAACGCCAGGCGCCTAGAGTGCAGAAATGCGAGGCACAAGTTGCAACAACCGCAAGCAAAAAGCTTCATTCTCATTAAAAACAATTACAGAAAGTTGCCTCCAGCTGCTTTGGGCCTGTTTCCACCGCAGGAACTTCGGGGTAATTTTATGGGGCCGGGGCAACCCCCGAAGGACAGAGTTCCGGAACTTTTACAGGGGCTAAACAAGTCCCTGCCTCGGAGTAGGTACTTAGAACGGCCCAGAAAAACTCCTGGCTGGGGCTTGGGGATTACTTGGTGCTGATTGGATATACTCAAGGAGGGATGTGACGTCAACAGAAAGCGACAAAATAGCCGGCATTTTTAAAACTCAGCAGACGAGAGTTAGCTCGTTCATAGCTTCAGTAACTCAATAAACAGTCTGTGAAAAAAATATTTTTTCCAGCGGATATCTTAGTTACAACATGATTGAACTGGCAAAGCAGTTTTGTGTTGCTATGTGTGGTATTTATTCAGTTTTGGGAAATCACGATGTCTAGAAACATCAGCTGACAGGGACAGCTAACAGCAGCAGCAAAGCTAACATCAGGACATCATCTGTCAAAAGCCTCCCGTTGTCGGATACGACATGAAACTACTCCAGTTAGCTCAATCATGTTGTAACTAAGACATTCGCTGGAAAAAATATTTTTTTCATGGACCGTTTATTGAGTTACTGAGTTATTACAGACACCGCTATGGGCTAACAGCTAACAGCGTCCCTACGCCAATACGTCGCCCCGGTCAAAATGGTCGTGCAACGATTACGTCACATCCAGAGCCCGGTAACTTTACAGGAACCTTCCTCCTACTCCGCTCTCTCAGTGGAGACACAGTAGTTGAGAGGGCCGAGCGAGAGGACGTTCCTGTAGTAGTTCCTGCCCCCCAAATAGTACCAGGAACTTCTTCAGTGGAAACAGGCCTTTTCTGTGTGATCAGGGCCTTAGATGGCTGGAATATGGTGAATGTTTTTATGCAGGCAATATGTTTATGGGTTGTCCGTTCTGTTCATTCCATTCTCATGCACATAATATGTCCAGAATACCTGCAGGAAATATCTTCAAATTTGGCACGAATGTCCACTGAAACTCAACAAGGAACTGATTAGATTTTGATGGTCACAGGACATGGGCCAAAGTCACTGTTACCTCATCTTTCTCAGTCTTGTATCTGCAACATGTCACATTGATATTGATATATATTCAGTTTAGCAAATGTTCTGGAGGTAAAGGTCTGAGGAAATGTTACGTATTATATCTTTAAGTTCACAATTATTTGTACAGAATGGATGAATGTGTTGTGTGATGAAGTGAAACAGCAAATTATTTTAATGAGCTGGCCTTAAAAATGTGATTTGAAATATTACATGTTACAGATTTATTCACAGTTTGTCTCCCAGATTGTGTCAGTGCAGGTAACTCTCACACTAAAGCAGACAGGCTGACATGTGCATCGTTTGTGTGTGTGTATGTGTGTGTGTGTCGTCTACAGAAATCTGTGCGGGACCGTGAGTTTGAGGCACTCCAGGGTAAAGTCCAGCGGCTCGAGAAGCTGCGGCGGGCTCTAAAAGTTGAACGCAACGAGCTCAACAAGAAGGTTCAGAACCTCAGCGGTCAGGATGGAGGCACAGCAGGAGCCCCCACCTCCGACCCAGGGACTGACTCCCCCTCTCCACCACCTACAGACTCTTTACTGGAGCCCAGCGGCCACCCTGTCCCAGACACCACCCCCTGCTCCCAGTCCTGCCACTGTGAGCCAGAACTGGACACAGACAGCCTACTAGAAGAAGCAAAGGCTCTGCCTGTGGCTGCACAGGAATGAAGCACCGCTGCTCTCAGTCTCCTCTTTCCCCTCCAGCAACAAGCCACCTAGCAAGCAACAAGCCACCAGCCTGCAAGCACCCACTCCTCTGCTGGATGAAGCTCATCAGATAGCAAGGGTAACTTGTGTCCTCCCAGCATGCTCTGCAGGCGCTATGAAGGTGATGAGAAGATTGTGCCTCGCCTGTCAGTACATTTACACGCACACAGTAACTGACTTACAGTGAACAACCTTATTAAGATAATAGTTTGATTAAAGCATTTACATGGTTTGCATCTTTCCTGCAGTAATCAGATGCTGATGACTCATTCATTAGTCTGGTTAATCTCCACAAGCAGACTACAGGAGACATGTTATTGGCTCCACAAAGTGGTGTTTGTTTTACAAGTTGATAAATGAATTAATTTATTAGTTGTAAAATGACCCCAATTTTTGTGGCACTCCAAAAACATGTGACACATGCTGCTGTTTGAATAGAAACATGACTTATAGTCCTCTGCCTCTCTGGAATACGCCTCAGAAGAAATCAGACATGAGGGCTCGACATAACATAGGAATTAAAAAGAGAAGTGACAAGTTATTCAGCTCTAATGCTCGCTCCAACATAAGGGGGATTTATACTTGTACAGCAGACCTTTCGCCGTAGCCTACGTACGTGGCCTACACCGTTGTGAGCCTTTATACTTGTGCAGTGGTGTGTCTGTGTCACTCTGCAGTTACACATCCTAAACAGTAGTCAGTGATGGAGTTTTTGTGAAGTGCTGTAAAGTTAAGTTGATTCAAAACACACATTAAACACACATTAAACACACATTAAACACACATTAAACATGGCTTAATAGAGACAGTTTCAAACACAAGTACACAAATCAGCTTCACTATAACTCGCAGCATTCACAGACAAACACTTGTCTTTATCTGGACACATTTTCCCCACAAATACAACATGCTAACGTTATTAGCACAAGCCTATGGCATTTTACATTGTATAAATTAGCCTAGCAGCTAGCAGGCTTTTTCTCTACTCATATGAAGCCAGGGACAACAGCAACATTTAACAAAGGTAACATTACAAAATTCAGCTCCATTACAACTCACAAGATTCACTGACAAAACAACTGTGTTATACTAAACACGTTTTCCAAACAAATACAACATGCTAACATTATTAGCACAAATGGTTTCAAAAATAAACAGGACGTCTGCATTGCCGCAACGTGTAGTTACATTTCTGGGGAGGTGCACGACAGGCTACGACGTAGATACAGCATCGATTCGACGCAGAAGTATAAATCCCGCCTGAAACCTTAAAGGAACAGTTCACCCTAAATCAAAAAAACTTATTTACCTTTTGCCTGTAGTGCTGCTTATCAATCTAGATAGTTTTGATGTGAGTTGCAGAGTGTTGGAGATATCAGCTGCAGGAATGTCTGCCTTCTCTCCAGTGTAATGGAACTAGATGGCACTCAGCTTGTGGTGCTCGAAGCGCCAAAAAATATTTTTGAAAAACAAAAAAGAGATTGTTGTGAGCAGTTTCATGTAGGAACTATTTTCTTTCTACCCAACTACACCTACCAACTGTATCACTGCGCAGACGGAAGTGTGCATCTACACCTAAACAATCTAGACTGATAAATAGCTCTACAGGTAAGAGGGAAAATATGTGGGTTTGAATTTGAGGTGAACTGTCCCTTTAGCTTGGCTAAGACATGATTGCTGCAACAGCCTGTACCGCTCTGACTATTAGTGTGTGTGTATAAATGCAGACTGCTTCTGTGTTGTGTTGTTGGATACACATTCCCTTTTTGAAACAGCGCTGCTTGGGATGACACAAGCCAATCTGACCAGAGGGATCATTGGAGGGTTTTTGTGTGTGTGTGTGTGTGTGTGTTTTCCAAAAACTTTGATGTACATTTGGTTGGAAGGAGTTTGATTCACAGCTTGCCGAGTCCTAAAGGCCACTGAGAGTAATTTAACGATTATCTGTCAGGTGAAGTCTTAACAGGGATTTGAAGCAGATCATTTCTGTAGTCAATCCAAGTTCTTAATAAAATAGAAATAATGTAGAGTTCTATATAATTATTGAAGGAAATTTCTCATTCTTTCCTTTTTTTTTTTACTCGGCTCAGATGTTCAGAACACTTCACGATATTTGTCGTCACATCAGAGTTTGCAGTTCTTCGCTCGTACACCATGTTAGGGAGGCGTTTCTTTGTTTTCTTGTTTGCATCGCTTCGCTTCGTTTCCATAGCATTTAAATTATGTAGTCTGTATTTATTGTTGACAGCATAATCTGATATTGAAATGTATGTATCTCACAGAGCACCACTATAAAATAAATGTTTATTTTTTGATTACTTTAGAAAATCTATAAAGGTGATACTTTTATGACCAATGTTTCATTCCTGATCTTTGAGTTGAGTTGTTGTTAGCGACATTTCTACATGTTTTTCAGTCTGCTTGTGACCTGGTGACGACGACCACTTGAAGCTTGTTTAACTCTGTACGTGTGTGTGTGTGTGTGTGTGTGTGTGTGTGTGTGTGTGTGTGTGTGTGTGTGTGTTACGTGGCTACGATTGTCTCCTCCCAGCCCTGGTAATTGCAGTAGCTTGTGATCAGGTTTTAACTAGAGAATGTTAAAGGACCTCTATGCAACGCTTGCCTCTTGGTTTTATTTTGTGGCTGTCTCAACTGACAAGCACTTAGCTGCGAATGTATATTCATTATCTCCACTGTCCTGCATGGATGTATTGTATAAACAGACAACATATCTCACAGCAGAACTTTATTTTTGCGTAGAACCTCATTAACTGCCTCTCAATTATTTGACGTTGAAGGGAAAACGCTGCGTCTCTCTGGTGCTGTTAAAAGGTGCAGTGTCTGAACCCAGTGGGAAGAAGGAGAGGGAACATGAGAGAAAATGTTATTGGACTTCTGAATTGTAGTTTTCACTCCCGAACATGTCCCATTTCTCCGCAGACTTCATGTACTACTCAATATGTAGCATCGCTAACAAGGTGTTAACTGTCGGCTGAAATAGAAATGGCAAACCAGATTTCTTCCATTGTCCCACGGGACAGATTCATTGTACCTCTGGTCCAGTGGTGGATGTGGAGGTTCACTGACCACGAGAAGGAACCAAAGATGTTTCCTTTTTTTGTCTTTTGCAGTACTTTTACCAGGCCCTGTATACTTTGTTTCATGTTAAATAAAAGATGTAACAGTGTATGTTTGAGCTGTTGGCTTAATTTACAGAGCACTAAATGTGTTAAAGCATGTTTCAGTATGAAAAAGATAAAATGTAGGAACCTGCAGCGATGTTCATCACATAGCACAGGAATTATAAAGAGAAGTGACAAGTTATTCAGCTCTGTAATGCTCGCTCCAACTTAAGGGGGAGTTATACTTGTGCGGCAGAGCCTACGCACGTGACACACAGTGTTGTGAGCATTTATACTTGTGTGGTTTGTTGCTCTGCAGTTACACCTCCAAAACACTAGTCAGCAGCAGAGGTCTCTGTGAAGTAAAGTTGAGTTGATTCAAAACACACTAAACACACATTAAACATGGCTTAATAGAGACAGTGTCAAACACAAATCAGCTTCACTATAACTCGCAGCATTCACAGACAAACACTTGTCTTTATCTGGACACATTTTCCCCACAAATACAACATGCTAACATTATTAGCACAAGCCTGAGGCATTTTACATTGTATAAATTAGCCTAGCAGCTAGCAAACTTTTTCCTCTAGTCATATGAAGCCAGGGACAACAGCAACATTTAACAAAAGTAACGTTACAAAATTTGGCTCCATTACAACTCACAAGGTTCACTGACAAAACAACTGTCTTATACTAAACACGTTTTCCAAACAAATACAACATGCTAATATTATTAGCACAAGCCTATGGCATTTTACATTGTATAAATTAGCCTAGCAGCTAGCAAACTTTTTCCTCTAGTCATATGAAACCAGGGACAACAGCAACATTTAACAAAGGTAACGTTACAAAATTTGGCTCCATTACAACTCACAAGGTTCACTGACAAAACAACTGTCTTATACTAAACACGTTTTCCAAACAAATACAACATGCTAATATTATTAGCACAAGCCTATGGCATTTTACATTGTATAAATTAGCCTAGCAGCTAGCAAACTTTTTCCTCTAGTCATATGAAACCAGGGACAACAGCAACATTTAACAAAGGTAACGTTACAAAATTTGGCTCCATTACAACTCACAAGGTTCACTGACAAAACAACTGTCTTATACTAAACATGTTTTCAGAACAAATACAACATGCTAATGTTATTAGCACAAGCCTATGGCATTTTACAATGTATAAATTAGCCTAGCGACAAGCAGAGGTTTCTTCTACTCATATAAGCCAGGATAAATCACATTACGCCCCAGTGTCTGTCAGGGATTCTCACATTTGTGCACATTAGACAACAAAACCCAATCTGAAGACTGTCCTATGAAATGCAGTCAGATTTTTTTTTTCTTGATGACAGAGTCCATTGATTGTTTATTGAATTAGTGCACTGTCTACTCTGCTTCACCCCGCTCTTCTCATTCCTCTCCTGACTACACTGATGACTCGCCTGGACCTTGTGAACATCAGAATCCTCCCCCGATATCCAAAGAACTGCATGACAAGCTATGTGAGCATATCATCCCTCTCCACCTGCACACAGTTGTATTTGCCCCCCTCTAAGTTCTCTAGTGCCTTTTAATGTGGGACAGCCAGATCCTGAAGCTTCATGAGAGCATTCTGGTATGCAGCAACATTCAGGAGCAACAACTTTAATATGGAGCCACCTCAGCCCCCTGTTCAGAGTACTGAAGCCTTCCAGGGGACTGCGCTCTCAGCTCATCATGTTATGAGACCTGCTCCACACTCATCCCAAGCTTCCTCAAATATTGCTGTATCTCTCTGTGGATTGAAAACAACATCTGCTGTGCAGCATCCAACCCAAAGACAACCTGCACCAGCTCAGACCTCCTTAAAGGGTGAAATGGAACCTCGTGCTTGTGCTCATCTGTCCCAGTCCACACACCACTGAGTTGATTAAATCCTTCTTCACACCCTCTCGCTCCCACTTCCACGCCGTATCCGCGTTCACACGGAAGATCCACCTTGTTAAGCGCCATCCCAAACCAATTAGTGAGGAGTGGAAGTGAGTTATAAAACCTTCCGACAGCGAGCCTGCACCGTTGCCGACTAACTGACCACGTGCAACAATGAACAATTCATCATGGAAGACACTCTGTACAAATAATGTTCCACCACAATATAGGCAATATTTTTAATTAAGATGTTGAAAGATGTCAAGCTGTGTTTTTTGAAAATGACCAGTAGGGGACATGGCATTGCTGCAGAAGCACGGGGCCCTGCACAGATTTGGTCCTAAGTGACTGAGCCTTTGTTCCTTCATCATAAAACCTGTAAGTTATCTTATAGTCACAACTCTTTTTATTTGAGGTTTCAAAGTTAAACAAACAGTGGCAGTAGAATATGAGTGAAAACAGAATTTCTGATACAAAAATGCAGAAAATATTCAACAAGTCAAAAAAAGCGATTTTTCATACGTGTATAGAAAGTTTGCAAAATATAAACAGAATTTATGGTTCTGTTTGAAACAGTAATAAAAGGTAAAGGTGATAATAAAATAAAGATTAAATTAAACTGACTGCACTCTTTAATAGCAAAGAGTGTGGTCAGTGGATCAGGATCAGCTGGTCTACCGAGGATGTTTGATAGCGACTGAAAAATATTTTGCAAATATGTTGTGACTGATTGCCCACAATGGTCACATGCTAGACTAATATCAGGACACATTTTACAGCACTTATTTTTTGATAAGTGAAGTTTACGCAATATTTTAAATTGCGAAAGTCCACATCTAACAAACTGAGGAGGAATGTACCAGTGACTGGGCTCCTGTCCATGACTCTTCCGAAGTAGCAACCCTGAAATCATTTAAGTTAGTTAGTTGTAAGCTGTCTTTAATATAGGTGTCGTAAACTGTTAAAGTATATTAGGAGTTTATTATATGAAATATATAATGACGAAAACTCTGTGTGTGTGTCTGTTCCACGTTTTTCTCCTCACTGACTTGGTCAGTCCATGTGAAATTTGGCACAGTGGTAGAGGGTCATGGGAGGATGCCAATGAAGCAATATTACATCAATTGGCCAAAGGGGGGCGCTATAGCAACCGATTGAAATGGCAAACTTTGAATGGGCATATCTCATGCCCCGTATGTCGTAGAGACATGAAACTTTGCACAGAGATGCCTCTCCTCATGAGGAACACATTTGCCTCAAGAACCCATAACTTCCGCTTATATAGATTTTTCGCCATTTTGAATTTTTTTGAAAAACACTTCAAATGGATCTCTTCCTAGGAAGTTTGAGCGATCTGCATGAAACTGGGTGAACATAATCTAGGGACCAATATCTAAAGTTCCCTCTTGGCAAAAGTTGGAAAACTTACTAAAACTGAGCTTCTATAAGGCAATGAATATTGCGGAGGGCGTGGCTCATCACATAAAGGTGTATAACATCTCAAGGGTTTCACCCATCACCACGCAACTTTGTAGGCATATGACCACA